TTGTGATGTTTTAGAAGTCAAGAAGCGCAACTTTTGGCACCCCAGTGTATGCCTCAAGGTGACCTAGAAACATACCCTCACACCAGTGATGCGTCCTTTCTTGCTTCGCCGACTGGTAGAGTTTGCAGACTAGATCAAGATCCTAAGGTCCCAAGAGTTGGCCAAATAAATTGGTCAAAGGTGGCTAGAAACTTGACGCCTGATGTCAACCTTGCCAAAGCACATACTGGAGGCGGCACTCAGCTAATTCCTCAGCCGAGCAGTTGAGGCATCAATGAGAGGTGTGGTACCCGAATCCGACGCACCACTGATTCGTTCTGAGAAGGAATTGAGTAGCTACATTAGTTTTTGGCCCCAGCTTTTCCAAGATCCTAGCCTCGTGCATGCCTTCTCAACTCGAGAACGCAGAGTCGAGAACGTCCGGTGCAGCTGCTACGTCGGCGGACGTTTCAGTCTCAGGAGGGCCACGTCAGAGTGCATTGGGAAGATGCCCTGTCGACGGGGACATGATTTTACGGGTATGAGGAAGGCAAAACTGATAAGCTGCTGAAGAAGTTTGGGCATGAAGATTGAGTGATTCACACACACACACTCAAAATAATGCGTGCTGAACTGAATGCCGCTCGCCACACGGCAACCTAGGCACCCATATTCCTGAGAAGTTCCTGTAAGAAGTCTGAGGGTCCTGGAGGTCCGACAACAAAGAAAGGTGAGGCCCAAATCTCAAGTGTAAAGTCGACGCGCGCGAAACGACAGACTGGCGGCGGTCGTGCACATCTGCAGAGCTCATTAGCACTTTACATCACCTAATGAACCTGGAAACAGCCTGAACGAGGGCGGACCAATGGAGTCATTGTGTTCAGAGCAGGTACGTCGATTTGGCGTCCCAAAACTGGATGGGCTGCTTGCACCCCCTTCTGAAAAGAACGCGCAGCAAAAACGGCACCAATTCAAAGGAATCCCGTTACTCCAAGGGTTACACACACACACACACGCCTCCCACAAGGGGAGGCGAGAAGAACTAAGACGTGGACTGATGTGCATGTGTGCGCGCAGCAAGGACAAAAAGATGAAGACATGAAAAGGGGGACGAGACAGGACAAAAGTGTACGTGGTTGCGATGAAGAGGAACCAAGTGCACAGGGACAAACAGTGAACCCCATCTCATTGTCAAACCTGGGCGACCTGAAGCCTGGGCTTGAAGTAGATGTAGATGTGCACGTATAAACTAAGGGCTGGACCAATGTGCGCGCAAAAGAGAGAAGGGATGAGATGCCAAGACATGAAGGCAGGAAGACATGAAAGAAAAGAGGAATGAAGATGTGTGTGAGGGGGAAAGGATGAAAGGGGGAACCAATTCAAGGGGACAGGAACAAATGAAACCAAACCTCAATTGAAAGACCTAGGAAGACCTGCCTGGTTTGGAGTGTACGCGCTGTGTGTGCACATAAGGTGGGGACAGGTCCCAATGGACCCCACAAGAGCCTTGACCGCTGTGGTCACCTTGTGCCTTGCCAAAATGGCTGGCTGCTCAGACCGCTATGGTCACCTCATGGCTTGCCCGGAGGCTGCCTACTTGTATTCAATAATCCAGCAAATCTTGGCAACTTACTTTGGCTTAAGCCTGCTCCGCCCGCTGTGGGCACGTGCGTTTCCAAAGCCAAGGAAACAATGGTAAAAACCCCGTTCGACGGGTCCACAGGGGGCACTCCTCGCGCTCACCCTGGGCTGGCATGAAGCCAGACACACTCAAGATCACGCGTGCTGAACTGAATGCCGCTCGCCACACGGCAACCTAGGTACCCATATTTCTGAGAAGTTCGTGTAAGAAGTCTGAGGATCCTGGAGGTCCAACAACAAAGAAAGGTGAGGCCCAAATCTCAAGTGTAAAGTCGACGAGCGCGAAACGACAGACTGGCGGCGGTCGTGCACATCTGCAGAGCTCATTAGCACTTTACCTCACCTAATGAACCTGGAAACAGCCTGAACGAGGGCGGACCAATGGAGTCATTGTGTTCAGAGCAGCTACGTCGATTTGGCGTCCCAAAACTGGATGGGCTGCTTGCACCCCCTTCTGAAAAGAACACGCAGCAAAAACAGCACCAATTCAAAGGAATCCCTGTGACTCCAAGGGTCACACACACACACACCCGCGCGCGCGTGGGGATAGGTTGGGGCCTCGAGAGTGCAGCTTTGGCCAACACAATTAAACACATCGAACAGCATTGATGTCAACACCCAGCCAGACGCGGCCCGGGCGAGGTAGGACACTCCGTTGCCTGGGGATCTCTTCATGGACAACTATACTGAGACTGATGATATATTTATGATATCTACTTATATACATGCTACTATACATATATAGATATGAGTGATATGAGTATATGTTGTAGCAATATGTATATATATATGATATATATATATATGCAATACATATGTATATATATATATATATGCTGTATGTATGTGTGTATGTGTGTATGTAGGTATGGGTAGGTAGGTAGGTATGTAGGTAGGTAGGTAGGTATGTAGGTAGGTATGTAGGTATGTATGTATGTGTGTAGGTAGGTAGGTATGTAGGTAGGTATGTAGGTATGTATGTATGTATGTAGGTATGTAGGTAGGTATGTAGGTAGGTATGTAGGTATGTATGCATGTATGTATGGAGGTGGCAGGGCTACCTGTTGTTGCTTTGAGGGGAACATCGAATTCATCCAGATACAAGTTATTTCACCGGAAGTCTCTGGCTACCAGTTTCGAATCGGTGTCGATTCGAGAGCTATATATATGTATACACACGTTATATATATGATTATATATGTATGTATGTATGTACACATATACACTGTCTGTGGATTCAACATGGTCTTACACGTTCGTTCAAAGGTTCCCATGGTCTTACGCTCTCATCTTCTCCACCAGGTCTTGCGGTCCCATGCGAACTGAAGGGCTCCTGCTGTCCCCACAGACTGGTGGGACTGGAAGGGATCAAAACACGCTCTCAAAACCCTGATTCCAAATGTGTGTTCCAAGTTCCAAGCTACTCCATCCCGAGGTTTCACAAGTCGGAGGCATTCCACCTACTCCATCCTGCTCCACTTTTCTTTTGCCAAAGAGTCTACATCAAAGGTCTCCAGGTCAGAGAAAAGCTTTCGCTTCACTAAGAGGCTTCTCCGCAAAAAGCGGACCTCAAAGACTCAGGTTGCTTTTCGACAAAGGCATGAACCAGAGCTGCAGAGCATGGCCAAAATCTACCTGTGTGGTGTCCATCTACAGTATCATTGGAAGGTGTCATGCTCATTGTAAAACTGTCAGGTGCTTTCTCTTGTGCACCATGAGAACCGCTGGAAAGACGCGTGCACGCTCCAAAGAGCGACGCGTGCATGTCATTCTTGGACCATAATGTTGGGGGGCCTCTTGGTCCTTGTCAACAAAAACCACGTCTCCTCCAAAATCATATCCAAAGAGCAACTACAGATCTCAACCTCTCAGCACCCCTCGCCAAGTCGCCAAGACGAAGGTCAACACCAGCTGCAATCCCACCGACAAGCCAATATAGCCGTCCCTATCAATGACGAAGACCTTGGTCAAACATCCACATGGATCTGCATCCTGAGTACCTGAAGGCATCCATGGATGGTCATACCTTCGTTGCCAAGTCAGGCCATCGAAATCTTATTTAGGCACATTGTGGATGAATGACTCAGCGTCCTGGACAGTTCTGCGACTCAGCGTCCTGGACAGATTTGGAGAAGAACCCTGTCCTCAAAATCGCAGAGCGTAGGGCTTAGCATTTTTCAAGCTGTCTGCAGCGCCTCTAGTGATCCACACCGGCCGGCCGACCGTCCTCGCGGGAATCGGAACGGGGTCGGCCCCGCGAGTGGAGGGAGGTCACTCGGCCGCTTTGGACCGTCCGTCATCTTTCCACTCCTGGTGCCTCCGTGGACGCCGCAGGCCTGCGCACTTATTAAGGCTCTGCACAAGGCCTCAAGCAGGGGTCACTATTATGCTAGGTTCAGGTACCGTTTGTCGAATTTCTCACCAGCCAATCACTCCAAAGAGTGGCCATGCCGAATCACCGTGCTTTCGTGGAGCCGGTTGCCAGAAGCCCCAAAATCGGGCCAGGCCCTGCCCCCGAAGGGCACTTCACCTTCGGCCTGCCGAAGGTTTCTAGCACTATACCAGGGCGCATCAATTATTGGGCGCGTCGGTGGTTGTTGTGACATCTTCACATATTTTTTACAAAGGGTGGGATCACATAATTTGCTTCGTCTGGCTCTGATTTTGCGAGACCAATAAAGCAAGTCTCGTCGGGTACCCCCGTTACATTGAAGCTAAACACACTCGCTTTTTGGGCGTGCATGGCAGCTGCAATAACCATTTTTGTTGTGACTTTCTACATTTTGGTGTTGTCCTTGCTCCTTCCTCTTACTCTGGCTTTACCACCAAAAGGTTGCATAAAACTACGGCCAACAAGAAGAAGCAGAAAAAGAAGTAGTAGTAGTAGTAGTAGTAGTAGTAGTAGTAGTAGGAGGGAAGAAAAAGCACAACAAGAAAGACCGTGACATTTTTGTGCTGCTCTTGCTCTTTTCTCTTGCTCTATCTAGCCCTACGCTCTACCACCCAGACGCTGCACAAGACGGAGGACAACAAAATGACACAGGTCAGGAAGAAAACAGCACAATTACACGACAAAAAGCCCATCTTCAACTGAATTCACAGCCTCTTGCCCAGGTGCAAGAGAGATGAAGTAGTTCCCAACCAAATATACAGCTACAGCTGTCTCCACGAAGAGAGGGGCTAGCCTCAAGGGTCTCCGCCAAGATTCGACAGTCTCGGGGAAGACCAACTGGTGATTTTCCACTTCCATGATAGTTCCAGGGAGTTTGAATGTGCGGCATGTGCTTAAGTGCACCCTAACTTTCCAATTCATTCCCCGACGAAGTGACGAGCACCAGAATGGGACGTTTTTCGTTTCTTGTTCCAAGTGGCGTAACCTTTCCTGAAGGATTGACGGTGTGATATGCCGCCAATTCCTCAGGTGTCCCATGTTTGGGCCCAAACCCATCTAGCCGCGAATGAGACACGCCTGAAGGAGAGGCACCTACGCCTCTGCAATGTCTTCAGGTGTTGTGCAAGTCGGAACAGCTTGTTCTACATCTACAGGCATTTCAATCATGGGGAACATAAACACATGGACAATTATCTCCATATGCAAATATATCATCATATATTATAATGTATAAGATAAAGACATTATATATTTAAACCAATGATTGCCGCACAAATAATGGGAGCACATAGGCGAAAAGGTAGCAATGGTGAAACAACAATGCGGGAACGGTGACAAGGATAAAAAAGTGGACAAACAACCACACATATGGAAGGGGGAAGGGGTGTATTGTTTTTGCAAATATGGCTTGATGCGGTTCAATCTTGAATCAAGTCTGGCCAAGTCACAAAAATGCACCACAATCCTTGGCTGTGCAGCTTCATAATTTCATTGGGTAGCACTCAAATCCTTTCAAACAATCTCAAGCACCTTCAAGCACTAGGACTCGGCCTCTCAAACTTGGGAAGACACATCACTTCTCCAAGTCCAAGTCTCTGGACAAGTATGGAGGAGACCATAAGATCCTTAACTCCTTCGAGGCCTTTAGGAAGCCGGCAAGACCATAAACTGCCTGCTTCATCAATGCTCGATCGGTTTGGTTGATACTGACGGCATCGAGAAAGCACACGGGCGAGGCCCACACCTGCCATGGTTTTGGGTGCGTCCTTTGACCCGGTCTGTGTCCAAGAACTTCGGAGCACTTCTCACACACTTCGACCCCAAGGCTAGCAGCAATAATAGCATATGTCACCTGTTAAATCAAAGGCCATTTTCTCTGATGTGTTGTGGAAGATTGGGCAAACTCTTGTGTGGCTGTTGCTGAAATTGCATCAGTCTTCTGGTGGAGAGACTACTTACAAGAATTTTCTCCTTGAAGCATGGGCCAGCAAGTAAAATCATCACCTGATCCAAAGTCGTTTATGCAATATTCCGCAACCATTCCAAACAAGAACAATCTACTGGACAAGTCCTGCCGACTAGGTGTGATCGTTCCGGGTAATCTGCATATGTCATATGCCTGACCATGAGTGAAAAATCTGATTGCTTGACCATGGAGCTTCTAAACGTCAATGTATGTGGGCCTGTGCATTGCCAATGGTGCTTTAACTCATTTGTTCATCTCTTTTTGAAAGTCTCACTAGGCTCTAGAGTAGTTCGAATGGTGTGTCGACCGCGGATCGTAGGCATGGAAAACCAATCTGGCACAATGAATCTGGCCAGGAGCACCCGCTCAGGCATATACACTTTGAAAAGAAAGCCAAGCAAGCAGGATGGCAGACTGAAGACTGTCATCCAGGGTCCCAATGGCACGTAGCTCCCGTCATTGAAGGAGTAGCGCCCCAACATGGGGAGGAGTTCGGCCATGTAGAGCCAGAGGAGGATGAGCATGGCCAAAAACCAGGTCAGCAAAGCAGACATCCAAGCTGATTGGAGCAATAGTGCGAGAAACTTGGACATCCCCGAGGTCATCCAAGTATGCGACAAGAAGATATCGAAGGCCTGAACCTGGGTTCTGAGAGCGACAGCTCTAACTTCTCGTTTTTTCGGAACTCACGACGGGAGCGTATCTGGACGAGTCGAAGTGAAGCAGGAATCAGATGGGAAGGGGATAGTCAGTCACTGTGAATCCGTTGATGGTCAGTTTTTCATCGTTTTTCTATCAGCAGGAAAAAGGCCGGTAAGGCAGTCCACAAAGAAGCACCAGCACCATCTGCTTCTTCAATCTGTTGTATCAAATACACTTGGGATGCGTACAAGATAGGATCTGTCGACCTATTGAAAGTGACCTCGTGGACATTTCCAAGCACAGACTCCTAAATTGTCCTGGATATTCCTGGATCATATTGCATGTGCCTACAGGGAAAGAGTTCGGGCCAAAAACAGCATTCTTGAGAAACCAAAAAAGTTATTGGGTTAGAGCACTCTTCAAAACTGCTCTGGCTTCGTAAAATCTTCTTGAACACCACATCCGGGCAACCACCTTTCCTCTTGACCACAAGGCTTCTCGCTTCTTTTCTTTCAGATCCAGCGGAGACTGCCACCAAAGCTGTCTGACATAGCGCAAGGACTTTCGGATGGAGATACCTGCACGACGCACCCCGAATTACGAGTCAGCGACGGAGTCGTGGAATTCATCGGTCTGCCGGTCTGCCGCTGAAGGTTTGGTCCGTTTGAAGAAGAACCACCTTACCCAAAGACCCGCTAACAAACAGTATCTACCCAAGATCGAACAAACCACCTCCGTCTGGAATCCCTAGTTCCTCTGAACATATATGAACATACACTCCGCTGTTCCAAAAACTCCCTTGCGGCTTTGAGAAGCATTGGGTCTTTCAAAAGGACATATTCAAGGGGAAGGGGATATTCCTTCAGGTGGAGGAGTTTCCATTTAATATTGCCAGTGGTAGTTTTGATAAGACATTTAGACACCTATTTTTTCAAGAAAGGGATTGGGATCCAAAGATTTTCCACAGAAAAACACCGGCAGGCAAAACCATCCAACACCGTTTCAGGTCGTTTCAGGGATCCCTTCGACCAGCTTCGACCCCAAAACGAGTAGTTTTGAGGGTCTTAAGTTTCCCATCCTGCGTCCTAGGGAGTAGCTACTTAAGCTACTAGCTACCGTTTGTTTCTACTAGCTACCGTTAGCTACTACCTCCCTCTACGGCCCCCCCCACCCCCTCCGTTCAGATCTCCATGTTTGCCTCGTAAGATCTCCGGCTCCACATCCACAGGCGTCGTCCGCCTCGAAGGCCGTGGGGGTCGAAGCGTCGAGGCGGAGGCGGAGGCGGAAGCATGGCGTTGTCTAGTGGAGAAGATATTTTTTGCCGGTTTTCTTCTTCTTTTTGAGGTATCCTAAGTACGGCGAGCATGCCAAGAATGTCAATAAACAACGATAGACGGATTGTGGTATGTCTTCAATCGTATTCCATCATCAAACCACCCAACAGCAATCTCCCTCTTGAAAAATGGTTGCGTGCGACGTCAACAAAATTCGCCCCCGCAACCCCCCTCCTCACCTTTGAAATGTGTCGACTTCCACTTCAATATCCCCTCCGCTGGACAGCTCCGACGGTGGCTGCTCCTTCATGTCCTCTCCGAGGTACAAGAAGCAAGCTCAAAGGAAAGCCATCCCTACAAGTCAGAGACCTCATTTTACCGGAGATGGTCATACAAAACCAGAACTTCAGGAGGTAAGTTTGACCAGGTTTGGACCTGAGTCAGGCTGGACTTGTAAAACGCATCTTGAATGGGTCCAAACATCCCTCGAGAAAAACCATCAACCGCTTGTCCGAAGACGGTCTGGCAAATCAAACTGAGGGGCGAATGGAGACAAAGAAACACCCCCCTCAAGATCTCGTCTGAGGCTGTCAACCAAAATAAGAAACATAAGAAAGGACCCCCTGGTTGGCCTCCTCACCCCGCCCCAGATCCCACACGACTTTTCACCACGTCCTTTCCCACAGGCTTTTGGGCGTCGATGACTTCATCAGGTGGTCGCCCAGTGTTGCTTCCTTTTTCACAACATGCTGATTGGCCCATTGCGACAGCTTTGCCGAATCGCGCAAAGGCCCGGTCAGTCTAAAAATCCTGCAGGGAAACAAGCACATCAATTCTAAGGGGACGACCAAACGTTTGACTGCATATCCAGGGATGAGACAGCTCTCTGACTCTCGGAACTGCTCCAACTCCCAACCGAACGAGGTGGGACCGATGGACCAAGCCAGGAAATTCCGTTCTTTGGTTGAAGAGGGTGCCTTTGGTGCCATCTGTGGCTTGTTTTCTCCTTCACCACTACAAGGTGCTCTTATTTTGGGAGACCGACTGACAGCGCAAATCTGTCCTACGTAACCCAATCCCAACCCCGTCAGCAGTAGACGAGAACAATGCCCATCTCTCTCCTATCTCAAGTTGCTTTGTGATGCTTTGTGTAACTTTCTCATGGCACTCCATCACTTCCATGCTTGTCTACAAATCCGCGATGATGTTTCCAACAAACATGCCCACAAGACTTATACCAAACACGACAAACCTCAATAGAGTCGTTCGATTCGGTGTTCCGTGCACCACAATTGTCTCTCCCGCCCCACTGAGCTGAGCTTTCCGGACGATGTGTGGCAAAAGAGGCGCTGAGCTCCTCCGTCAGCCACGGTTGCTGAAGGCTGGGTGGCTCGGCCAGGGCCAGGACGCGGAAGCTGGGCGCAATGGGCGAGACCTTGGTGGTGAGGTTCGAAACGAAGACGTCGGTGAACAGGTCGGTTCTCGTGTTGAAATCGGATGAACGGGGTGTTCTCATGTGCGAAATCCGATAGACACGCTAAGACAAGAAACTAAAATGTCCCGAAGGCACAACAAAAACAAACACTTAGGAACTTCATGTCTCCTAAGTCTCCTCCTTCCAAATCACCGCTTAGCAAACATCCGGCGTTTCGATGCAGGCCAGGCACCAAGCATCCGGCCTCGGCATCGAATCCTTGGCATGCCGCCCAGCCCGAAGACCGAACCAAAAAATACATGAGATTCCACCATGGGATTCCACCGGAGGTTTGTTTTTCAATGATCTTCCAAGGTTTGATTCGGAATTCGGTCTGCCCACAGCCAGATACCACGATTTCGTTCAACACCTTTGCGTCCATGGGAACTTTCCCTTCTCCATGACACACACATCGTAGGATCTCTCCAAAAACATAATGGAACATCAATTCTTTTGGCATCACCCTGGGTAAGCAATATTTAAGAGACATGTGATTAGCCTTCACGCAAGGCTGCCGACCGCGCAACCTGGTTTTGGCTAGCTGAGTGGCTCATGTCAATAGCGGCCCTTGTGTGCAGCTATACAATTCTTTGAAAGGAAAAGGCTGATTGGTGGGAGAGCCCGAACCCAAACAAAGGGGTAACGCGTTTCATTTCAACCCCAGGTCTCAGGTCTCCAAGAAGAATAACAACACATGTTTTCTCACCTGGCATCGCCTCAGGGATTCAACCTGCGAACCTTGACCGAACAAATCCACTAGGAGTTCCACAAGAAATTCTGTATAGATTCCTCTTCGCTTAGCAAACTTCTGCATGGCATATTCAATGTCCATCCTCAGTATTCTCCCTCACATGTCTTCAGCTAGAAGGTTGCCAAGTGGCCATTTGTAGAAAGCGCCTGAAACCGGTCTTGGCGCAGCAGCAGCTCCCAGCAAGCCCCTGCCGAGAATGCAGCAAAAATGCAGGAGATAGGGCTCAGAGTGAAAAAACATGTGCTATTAACCCGAGCAGGGATTACCGGATGAAACACCGTAGTTGGCTGCGAACAACCTGCTTCTTATCTTGTCCATTTCCATGGGACCATTGGAGAGTGCTGACTCCGCAAAGAAGAAATATAAGACACACTTCTTATATAGCTCCAAATTCCCACGCACCTGTACAACATGATGCAACACTCATCCTTCCTAACCTTCCTAACCTCGAAACAACCACATGTTTCTGTCGGTGGCATTTCTTCTACAAAACACAGACCGCTTCCAACTCGACGAACGCCTCGAGGATCTCCAGCAACTGCCAAACATGCTTGTCGGTCCTGCTGAGGTCACGAACGATGCGGTGGAGTGGAACACTCCGTGGCGAGGCGATTTCCATCGCCGGATGCGGCGTCACGAACGATGCGGTGGATGGGGCGGGAAAGGAAGAAGACACCAAATAACATCATGCAAGCGACATCGTGGTGCTGTTCCTTCTTCTATTCCTCTGCGAACCTGAGACCTAGTCCTAATCTCAGTTTTGCGCCATGTGCCCCCAGAGGCTTTCACGGGACACTCACTTCTCAATAGCAACCACGCAAAAGGGGTTTTCAGTGTGAGAGGTTTTGACATGGATTTTGGCGATTGGATGATGATGGGTGACAAAGATTGTGTGGTGTTAGGACACCTTCAGTTTTGACACAGCATAGGAAGTGATGGGCCGCTTCGGCCACTTTTGCCGAATTATGGCTTGAAGCTTGAAGGGTGGCGGTTGTTGTCCACTGTGGGCTGATGATGTACTACGGGCTGCTCCACTTTAGTATGGCAACATCGTCCGATAGCTACACGTAAGGCTCTACGCTCGCTACGGGCTGCTCAGGCTAACTGCCAAGCCCTGCTCGGCCGGTCCACACAGGGCACGCTTCGGGCTCACTCAGGGTAGAGCACAAAGGCAAACGACCGAGGCTAAGACGCGCGTACGACCAAGGCTGGTTACCCTTGAGAAGCCTTTAAAGGCCGCTGACTGCACGAATCCTCCGCGGTTCCCCCGGTCTGCACTCTTATCTCCAGGTTGTTGGTCTCGCTTGTGGGGCAGTGATCTGGGCTCTATCAGATTGTTTCGGATTTCGGCATGGAGGTGAGATGGATACAATTGAACAACTGTTTTCTTTGTCTGCGAACACCCCAGGGGGTCTGTTCCGTTAACGGCTCAGGAAGGTTCCCATTATGCATGGTCAACCTTAGTAGGCAGGCGTGCACGAACGGATCAGCCCTTCAGTATCAAGATGTATCAGGCCTGTTGTGTCACACACACACACAGAGCGACACACACTCACACACACACACACTGATGTAGACACACACACACACTGATGTACACACACACACACCGACAACACCTGGGATGGACAACGCCGCCAACGCCTGCAGAAGGGGCGCCAGCGCGCAAAGCGCATCACCCTTGAGTCGATGAGCACCGTCGAGGATACACATGGCCCCTGGGCGGCTTTTTCACCACCCGGAGCGTCCGGTGTGTCCAATGTCCGGTGTCTATGACCCAAAAACACATGGCCTATGTGGGAACATGGTGTCAGAAAGAAGATCTTGACCTTCAAAGAAAAGCCTTTGGCTTGAACGTAGCAAAAGACAAGGAGAACTGGAGAACTAAGTTGGATTATATATCCACACATAGACAGAGGCAAAACGTACTGTAGTTGCTTCAATTGAGTTCATCGGTTCATCGTCTTTCTTTTTTGCGACACGTACGATTTATCCATAAAAAACTGTATATATATATATATATCTAGAAACTTTTGATCCATCTTTTGTTGTTTTGGCCAGCCTCCAGTTTGTTGAACATGGACAGGAAAAGCAATATGGACCAGGGATCATGATAGACATGCATCACCTAAAGCATTGTTTGTTCTCCAGTAGTGCTTCGCTTCGTTGACCAACACCAATTCTCTCATCACCGAAACTGGGGGAGTTACAGCTCCTGGTGGCTGAGGTTTGGGCCAGATCTGGCCGCACGGACCAAAGGTGAGTCCACCCAAATGGTATCGCCCTCATCATTGGTGGCACGCCGCTGTAAGAGGTCTCTAGACGACATCCTTGGCGCGGTGGTGGGTGGAGAAGCAGCCTGACAACACAGCTTGAAAGGATGAACCGTTTGTCAATTCACCAGAAGAGCTAAATCAGTTGAAGAGAGCGAAAGCAGAGAAGCCAAATCGCTAAAAGTCACCTGAAACTTGGAAGGTGATCAAAAAGGGCTTCATTGTTAAACATCAATTTGATCATTTTGAGGAGAGTCCACTAATTAGTACTTGCTGGGCCTAATAGACCCCCTTCATGGCAAAAGCAAGCCGTTGATGAAAGAGCCCTTGCACGAGTTGGCAGGGGCAAACTCCATGTGCAGGAGAATCTTTCAAGTATATACCCCTTCCCCAGTTCCCTTCATCTGATTGGCAGTGCCCTGCTGTGCGAAATGGGTTCAAGCTCTGAAGCCAAGCTCTGCACGTACGCTAAAGTTGCATAAAGTTACTATATAAGCCTGAGGACACTAGTCAAACAATGTCAAACAGAAGCAAACAATACATGCATCGAGGGAACTGAACCAGGTGAAACCAGACCTAAACTGCCCTCTTTCTGCGTGTTTTTGTCCCAGGTCATCCAACTCTACCAGCAATGTCTTGATCATGCTACAGCTTTCACTGGTTTTGATTGATGGCTGATCAGTAGGAGGACGATGATCCACGATGATCCTCTTCATGGACTTCAACGGTGTTTGGATCTTCTGATATGAACAAAAACCAACGACATGACCAAGTCAATCACTATCAACCATGGATGTCGTTGACCCAATCACCTCGACTCACCATGGCGCTCTTCATGAAGGAAGAAGAACTCGAGGCCATTGGCGCCGGGTGCACCGTGGCCCAGGAGCCCTGCCAAGTGCCTGCCAGGAGCCGTCGTGGGCAACGACTTCTCTTTGGCTCAGAGTGTGGAGTGGAGCGGAGTTTGGTAAGAGTGGAACAGAGGGCCCCGAGTTCGTGGCAGCTTTGGGGGAACGTCTATTTCCCACCTGGCACTTCAGGGAATATTTGGCTCTCCCATTTCAAGAACACTGGCACACCCCATGCCAGCCTGGCAAGTGCAGACTTTCCACAGCCAGCAGGGCCGATGAGGAGGCAGTCACTACCAGATGCGAAATCCTGGCTGTGGCGGCACTGTGGCGGTGAGTAAAACGTCGCTGGGGCCGCTCCTAGCAACCAGCTTCAGTGGCCCACCTGCTGTGGGTTGGCGCTCTCCAAAAAGATGAAGGATCCATCACAAAGATCATCAAAGATCTACGTGATCTACAAATGCCATGTCCATCTGCTACTTTTTCTGAAGCCGCTTCAGACTTGTTAGAGGCCTTGATTGAAATTGGCGACCTCCGAAGCGTGACATATGCACAAATCCATCCTACACGGAGACATTCAACACCAATGGATACAAAGACTTCCGTATCTACCTTCACTGGACATCAACGCACCAAACCTGGACGAGTTTCCTTTGGTAAGAAATACACTCCCCAGCATCTACGTCGCTTTGGCTTCTGCCGGCTCCCCAGCATCAACCCGCCGTTTCGGTCCACACCCGAATGCTGAAGATCGGACCTGAACCAGGTGTGCCAACAAGGCCTTCAGTGGCCTTGGAGGACATCTTCGGCAGGTTCAGACGATCGATCCGAATGCAAAGTACAGACGACCCAAAAGAATCGTGCAAGAAAAGCATTTGAAGATGCCCAAGAAATTCATTTTTTTGGGTTTCACAGTGCTTCACCATTTAATCCCATTTACATTTACAGTGCCCATCAAACAGTACTAATGCAGAGTCTTGATTCGTAAAACCTCTGCAGTTGGATTGTAAATGACATTTAATCAAGAGGAACATCCAATTACGTCCCTTTCTTTGCTTTTTGCTTGCGTGAACATCCAATCACCAGCCACAGCGGCTTGGAGGCCACAAAGCTGGCCGGCGCCGCGGGCAACGCCGGCGAAGCAAGGGACACGGTGAGGTTCCGTGCAGCGGCACCTCGTTTGATGCAGAGAAAGGGTGGGGAGCCTAATCTTTTAGCGCCCAAAAATGAAGACCTTCCAAATCCACTGATAGAAGGACATTCTCTTTTTGAGCAACATCCCAGTTCCAACTGAGGGTGTTGAGCGCAAGTCAATCACCCTCACATGCTGCGCTCAACCAGGGTCTAGTCTGACCTTTCTTGAACAAAATTCTTTCAGCTTGACTCTCCAGATTCTGGACCGCGAGCAGCACCAGCTTGCACGCGGTGCCCGGCAGTGCCCCCTGGCCTTCTTCTTGCAACTCCAGCTGCACCGTGCCCGGTTTCTTCGCACTGAGCAAAGGCGGTGGAGCGGCCCCCACCCGATGGTGTCAAGCTATCCCCTAGTTTAGCATCCACAAGTCACCTATGGAATCTGCAAACACATCTTCCTACTTAGACAATTGTGCCTTGTTCTGAAGCAAGCAAGCCTTGAAGTCGTAGACACACTCATTGGACGTGTCTCCTGCCAAAGCAGCTCGGTGATATGACCCCGATTTCAGTCCTTTTAACGTGCGGTCTGTTCAGGTACACAATGATTGCTTTTCACATAGAAAGCTTGGGTTTGCTCCCGCCTGGAGCAAACACTTCCCTCATATGCACTGAAGAGTGAAGAACAGTGAAGAACACCAAACATGATGAAATCATGAGAAACCGCAGGCAAACTATGGGTAACCTTTCACTCCAGCATTCAGCAGAACTCCCATCCCAGTTTCTGTGAATTCAACGCCAACAAGCGGGCGCAGCCCCAATCTGGTGGCGCCCTGAGTCGGACGATGCAGAATTTCCAATGACCCTCATCTCTTCGACCTCAAATGATCGATTTCTCATGATCCAGCTGGACAGTGCCCCGACATCCGGATTCCTCCGAATGCAAACACCTGACGGACCACAACTACGGTTTCCAAAAAGGTTTGCAAAGGTCAATTGTCCCAGCGACCAACCTTCTCATGACCTATCAATGGAACATAGACGTTCAAAGACCAACACCATCCTTCATGCCATATATCCATCCTTCCTCCTATTGCCATATCTGACGCTCGAGGGCAGACTTCAGACTCCTCGGCTAAGTCGAAGTGTCGAAGCCTTGGAAGGTCAAAAAACAGACTTCTCGGACCGCGTCTGGTTCTCTATAGATGTCTCCAAACCTGGTAGGAATATGTTGGAATGTCAACTGCAGGGCACGCTCTCGTTTGTACCTATAGTAGCCAAAAGCATTATGTTTTCAGCTAATAACCGGAACCTCTATATTTGCGGCTGAAGACATGAAGTTACAGGAATGAAGGTGGTGCCACACAGATTCCAAAGACAGTGATCCAATTGTTTGAACCACACTGAAGTTCCTCCCCCCAAACCGGCAAGTCTTGAGAATGTTCAACACCAGCTTGTTTACCATTCCACTTGCCCTGGTCCCCCTGTTCATGCTACATTTGGACACCCTATGATTCACTATGCTGTACCTCCCAGAACCCCTGGCCTGATGCCACCCCCAAACCGCTGCTCAGTGGCAGCTGCTCAGTGGCGTCGCGCACCGCGTTCTTGGCTCCGGCTCCACAGAGCTGGGCGATGGGGTAAACCCGGTGGAAGGCCTCGCGAGCACGCGGACGGCCCGGCGTGGACGGTCTGCGTGGCGTGGACGGCTGGAGGAGTCACACGGTCCGTCTTGAGGAGTCAAAGGACGCTTTCGAAGACTTTCGACAAGCAACGCCAGCTACCTAGAGTATGTCTGCCTTACATTGCCTTACTCCCATCTCGTGGAAATCCGCCATCTCGGAGACACCGCCTCGCCAGCTTGTTCGAAGCCTCCGGGTCCTAAGACCTGGACGGTGAGCTTTCTCTGTCCGGCGGTGGCGGTGCTTCGGACGGTCGGACATGTTCCTTTTCGAAAAATGAACCTGTGACCAGCACAGGAAGCAGAACAAGCATACATTTTGGCTCACATTTTCAAGTGTTCATATTAAGACACCATGATCATCCACCTCATGGAAACTCCTGGAAACCTGTGTGCTATTGCAAGGGTGAATCATGTCAAAACATTACACTAAAAATTAAGTGGATCCAGATCCAGCAACTCCCCGAAAATTGGTTCCAGCGACCATGTTCTGAAATGTTCTGAACACATCCACCGAAATAGGCCTTGGATTGGTTCCATAAATGTCACTAGTGGCAACATGTGGCGATTTCAGAAGATCCACTGAGACACAGGAGATTCCAAATGATTCCCTCTGTTCCTTGGAATTCGCCATCCCGGTGAACACCATTTAGTTCGCCCTCGTCTGCCGGTCGCTCGTCTGGGCAGACGGGCCAAGCGCAGGAGCCGCGCGATGGCATCGTAGGTCAAGGTGGGGCTCCGGAGGCCTACGGAGGCGGAAGTCGATGGATTTGGGGCTCCGGAGTTTGCGAAGTGAATCAACACAAGCCACTGAGTGCCTGAGTATGTATAACATTATCTAGTTTACAGGGGTCCTTGTTCTTTATCTTGTTCCTTGTCTCCTTTTCATAATATGCATGATGCTTTAGGTGTTTTGTGCAGCCAACAGCTGCAGCTGCAACAGTGGCAAGGGCCACACAGCTTGGATCTCCTATACTCAAAGCAGTTTCACCAGCAAATCCACCAGTCTGGACGCTTCATTCATTCTCCGGTTGGCTACTGAGCCTTTCTCTACCAAGGGTCAGACTGGGAAAACATCCACAGGATGGATGGGCTGCAGGCAACATCTGTCAACTCAACACCATCATTTTGCATTTCAATTTTTCCGTTCTTTCGTAAAAAGACGTCTCAACAACCTATTGGGGTAAACACTCGGGTTAACGGACCCCTCACCAGAGAGGGGTGGTGTTCGGCGCAACGGTCTACCCCAAGCAACTTAGTTGGTTCACTGCCGAGGTTGCCGGGGAACTCGTTTTTCCTCGCGACGAACCGGTGACCGCTAGGTGATCAATCTGACGCGGACGCAAACCAGTCGATGGAAAGAAACATGAACAAACACCTGGTCTGTTGTTTTGTTTTCACCATCTATATAGCGATGCCCCTAGTGGCGTCCTTGTTCCAAGTAGTAAGGCCAGGAGCCCCTAGTAGCGTCCGATCGCTCCTAGTAGCGATGCCCTTTGCTCCGTTCGTGGCGTCCTTGTGTTGATATGTGAGTTTCTGTGTGATCTGGGTATCTGGTCCCGTGGCACCATGATAGCTTAAGATCCATTGCGCAGTGACAATGGTTTCTTTTCGGCATATTGCGTGAAACCTTTTGGCTGCCAGGGTCGTTGGTACCTGTGGTACCATGCCTGTCTGCCATGCAGCAAATATGCAGAAGAAGAATCCTCACAATCAGATCTTCCTGGCACCAACATGCACCAAACACAGCACCAGGTTGCCCACCTGGCATCTGACCGCTGTCTAAGGCTCGCTGCAGAGCTGTGAGGCGCCGCAGGAGCTTATCCAATTCCGTGGTGTCGGCGGGTAAACCTGGGGTGTTCGAGGTCCCGCTCTGGGTTTCTGTGGTTTTCATATGGTTGTCATCCGGATCTCAGCCGCTTTTCTAGAGCAAGGACCAGCAAAGAGATCTAGATAGATTGGAGCACTTAGCAAGCTTGCTTTGTTGATTAAGGGAATGACCACCTGGATATCAAGGAAGAACCAACCAGCCAATGGCCACATTCTGGAGCCTAAGACCTTCAAGATAGAACCAGGAAGGAAGTGAACAAATTGACATTATCTTGCCACAATTTCAAACCTCTCAATTGAAGAATTCATAGGTTCTGCTTCAAGATCTTCAAGATGCCAGAACAATGCAAAATAAGATAAACATCAGTTGGACCAAACAAGGACCTCCCCACACATGATGCTTCTGCATGCTATCCATTCACTCTCGCCCTCCGAGCCGCGAAAGAAGGGCGCCAGCTGCACGGCCGAAACCAGCGTCGGCGGCATGATGATCCGCGCCTGGAACCGAGACCTGGCCGACTTCCGAGCCAACGTTTGTACCCACATCCGAGTGAAGAACGTCATCATGGGAACCGCGGAGTTCACTGCGAAACAGGAAAGCGTTTCTTTGGTGGGGAGCACCGGAGTGGCATTGGATGATTTGCAGTGGGGGGAGTGGTCAGAGGTCACACAGAAAGAAACATTACTGTAAATTAATTACTTTACTTCGAGTGATCCCCAACATGACTGACAAATCTTCTGGCATGTATTGAAGCATTATTTCGGCATTCTATCTGGCATCTCTTCTGACATTCTTTCTGGCATCTCTTCTGACATTCTTTCTGGCATATCTTCTGCATATCTTCTGACATTCTTTCTGGTGCTCTATCTGGGATATCTTCTGACTCGTGGTTGAGGTCCGGCGGAACACTGCCAGCCGAAGCTTGCGGTTGAGGTTAGGAGGCGGAGGAGCAGGAGGCGGAGGACGAGGAGGAGGACGGCAGCTGACACAACCCTCACCTGACAGGTGGGGAAAAACACTGATGGCTGTGCCATTTGGTTGTTGACCTTTGCCTCAGTTGTGGGTTTGGTTTTATTCATTTTTTTCGACCGATTGGATGAGTGGATTGGGCTTAGTCGGCAGGGGAAAATACAGTTGGGAGCGCAGCTCAACAGTACACTTTTCAAAGGTCACATACAATGCCTATAAACCACATCACTCCAAAGAGCAGGCTTTGTATGAGCGGACAACGACTGCGTGGTGAAGCATTTGTTCGCCTTCAATGGTTCTTTCAGGATGGTATTGACACGTTTCGGAAATGGAGTTGACTTCTCTCCGTGAGGCCGTGAGGCATCCGGTTTCTTGAGGGATATTGGATTTGAACGTGCGGTTTGAAGTTGAACGCCCTTGTGTTGCAGTTACGCTCAAAACTAGTACTGCTCAGGATGAATCTGCCTGGAACGTAAGAGAAATGGTCGTGCTCAGTGTGGAAAGCGAAGCAACAAACGCATCCCGCAGAAGATCCACTTAAAAAAACCTTTAAACAACAAGAACCAAACTCGATGTCAGAAACATGCCCCAGACATAGCAAATCCCATGCGGGGCGGAACAAAGAAAACAAAGGTGGACTTGGGCCCCCAGAGAAACTAAGGCCCTCTTTGATGAGGATAGTAACAGGTGCCTTACTACTAGTAACAAGTGCCTCGCTAGTAGTAACAAGTGCCTTACTAGTAGTAACAAGAAGCTTTGTGAGCCCAGTCGTCCATCTTCCTCTTTCGCACCCTTGCAAAATGGGGACGCCTGACCGTGCTTCGATTTTCACGTCTGACCTCTCACACCCTCTTGGAGATTTGTCATCTACTTCGCGCTAGTATGACAACTTTCTGACTTTCAAGGGCGAACAGTTGACCATCTTTGCTGGCTCTTTTTTCATTGCACTATCTGATCATGAGTCTTACATCCTTGATCAAGGATTCAACAGGTGTAAGAAACTGAAATCACTTTGCAGTACACGGGCTCAAAACGTGCTTTTATTAATGTAAGAGACTATGTAGATCGCTGCTCCATGTGTATGAACTATGAAGTACGTGGATCCGCAATATATCCAATGGGTGTTCCAGCAGCGCCTGTCCATCGTCACTACTACGTATACCTCTTGTTTGTGTAGAAACCCTGGCTCCTACAAGGATCCAAGTTCAAGGGCAATGAAGCACAATGGGTACGGTTTTATTTCGGGATTTTTTTTGTGTTGCGATTGGGGAACTTTTTGCGCGGTCATGGTTCTCTATAGCTCCTCCGGTGGCTTTGGAAAACGAGCTTTTTTGGTAGAAGAAATACGTGTCCAGGAGACCATTTTCCATGTCCATGATATTTCAGGGCGTCTAGGGCCTGTGTACCAAAAAACTCTGGCCGCGGGCAGAACAAACATGAGACAAGTGCATCATAATCGAGAAGGGATGATGCACTTGAGTTGTCCCTTAGGGTGAAACAAACTACAACAACCAGTAGAGCAGAGGACAAACAACAAGAGTAGGAAAAATATAGAAAACCAGAAGCCAGGAATACAGCAACTAATAAAAAGGCAATGTCAACTGACAACGGCCATAGAAAACAAAAACAACTAAGACAGAGAAACAATACGCCACAAGAGAACGAGAAGCAAGAAAGTAAAGAACAGCAGGAGAAAAGCCAGGAGGTGCAAGACGAGCGCAAAACAAGAAGGACAAGAAAGAAAGGCAGGATAAATCACAGGGAAGCAATGAATAGCACTGAAAAGCAAAACAAGCACAAAAAACAAGACACATCGGAGAAATCATAGAGAAGCAATGAACAACCAGAATAGCAACAAGAAGCATTCCCCCAAAAAATAGCCCTCCCAACACGATTGATCATTGTTTTTTTGGTTGTTCGGGGCCTTTACACAAAAACTTCGCCAAAGCTTTCGCGGTTTATCACAGGTGCCTACTTGAACGCTTTCGCGGTGCATCGGACAAATCCTTTTCTTCAGACAGAAGACATCATTCAGTGTCAGAGGCAAATGAAGATGAAGCAGTAGCGGGCGAAGCAGTGCAGGAAGGCGAGGCAGCTTGCAAGGCAGCAGCGTGACGATGATGCTTTGCAGCTTGCTTGTGTAGGCGAGCAGCAGCTTGGGACGACAAGGCTTCTTCTCCACGAGAGTTGCGGGGAGGTTTTGTGGATGGAAACTCTTCTGGGCCATGTGGCGTCGGAAGGGGATTGGTTGGATGGAGGCTGTAGGTGCTTTCGCGGAGCTTTCGCGGGGATTAGCTTAGATTTTGTCTTGTTACGGTTCCTGCAACAGCAATCGTAAGACCACCCTGCGAATGCCAATCCCAATGGCACAGTCGCCTCCGCAACAAAATCACTCTTCACACTTGCACATGTTACGTTTCCACAGTATTGCACACGAATCTGACACTTCCTCCTTCCATCCAAAGAACAAGTTGAGGGGAAAGCTGCTCGACCAAAAATTTCATTGCACCACTCCAGTAGCTACACTGGAATGAAATGCTGGCTGTGAGATTGTGTGCCCGTGTGAGATTGATACTTACCTATACCTATACTTACCTTCACTGTATATATATATATATTGCTTTCGTGGTTTGCTTTCGCGGCTCAACAATTGGAAGGTTGCGCGGGGTGCTTTCGCGAGCTATGAGAACAAGAAGCTTCACACATTTGCTTTCGCAGAAAGTTAACAACTTCCATTTTTGCATGTGTCCTTACAATATTTGACCGTGTCTCTCTTGGCAGACACTTCCGGCATCCTGCTATCATGGTACCATTCTGCTAATCTGTCTCTAACTGGTACCAAATTCTCTACTCTATCATGGTACCATCCTACTTTTGGAACTGCTCCAAACACCTCCGGCCGCTCGCCCTCGCCCTCGCCCCCTTGCCCAAAACGACCCAACCCCCCATGCCGCCCGAGACCCCTACCTTAGGGGAGGATCCAGGGGATTTCCCGGCCAAGGAGGGCATGGCACAGCTAAAGCCAAGACCTGAAACGAGGGTCGCCATGGGTCACACACAAATGTCACATAGGAAGAAAACCATCTTTTCCTGAGGCAAGTGGATGACAAGCAAGTTGAACATACATTGAAATTGCATGAAATTGCTCTCTCTTTCACATGCTGAACATCCCTGTGCTTTCTCTTTCACAATGGTCAACATTCCTGTTGGGTGCAGCTAAAGTCGGGAGAGTCGTGCAGCTGAAGTTGGTTTCCATGGATTGTTGAGCGAACGCACGTTGATTGTTGGATGTCACGTCATTCAATGGCCAGGATCCTTGTGCAGAGGATGCAGGTTGCTGGACTTTTTGAGTCTTCACAAAGATGGATGTGGAACCAACCAATAAGAGAAACGTCGAAAGACACTTTTGAAGTGTTTGTCAGAATCAGTGTGGTTTGTGCTTGGCAATTCGGAATTGTAGCACGGAGAAGCTACAGTATACCCAACTTCACCCTTTCCTTTCGTCGCAAGGCTCTTCTGAAAGGAATCAACCCTGCAGATTTCTGAGTTGGGGATGGCCAAAGTCGCGTTTCCAAAGAGATCCCTAGAGCCAACGACTGGTTTAACAGGTGTTACTCTCTGACTCACATGGAAGTAGACAACGACCTGTTTGGTATTCGGAACATGGTGCTCCCAATGGCCATTGTCCCACCAATAGCTTCATTGAACATGGTGCTCGTCAAAGAACTGCGTCACTTTGCGAAAATAACACACAAAAGGCACTATACCCAATGTGTGTCACTCAGTTCGGGTATCGTCCAGTTGGTCAGAGCTGCAATTCTGAGCTGCGCCGATATGTGCCCATATCGGTGGGTGACTGGGGGATGGTTTGACCCGCATCAGCGCCAGGATTCGCACTGCTCCCCCAAAACAGGCCCCAGCATAGGGCCCGGATGCTGCCAAGGGACTCGGAAGTCTTTATGTACGCGAACTAGCTTGGCTTTGCCTGGCCATGGCCCCGAAAAGCGGTCGAGACCAATGAATCGACATGTGAGTTATCCTCATCCTGCCCCCAGCGAAACCATGAAGCAAGGTTGCGAGTGTACAAGGCTTCCGGTATCCTCCGGTATTTTATAGTTTTTCGAAAGATGCACATCCTCCTTTATAAACAGCATGTTCTTTACCTGTGAACCTTGCTCAGTCTTACCAACCTTTACTGAGTCTGTCAAACCAACCGCGCTACACTTCTCCCGTCGCCACGCTTCTCCCGTCGCCATCGTCGCCTTCCTCGGTGGAGACGGCCTCGTGCGAGAGCACGTCATAGCGCCGGGCTGGGATGAGCCTCGTCGGGCGCTTTGAGCAGCGAGAGGTTGAGCAGCTGAAAGCGAGGGATCCAATCTAAAAGCGGATTGGTTTAGTTTCCCGGTGACGGCTGAACATCCCTTAACAATCTAAAAGCGGATCTTTACCAACTGGTTTAAGTTTACGGTAGATTTTCCCTTAAACCAATACTGAAAACTCTACAGGATTGGCACAGGGAACATCTACATGAGTGCATTGGTAAGATTCCCGTGGGTTCCCATTCTGAACATCCCCCTCAAGTGGTGTCTCCATGAGTGAATTCTACCGAAAAGTGGACTAGGGTGTGCTGGAACTCACTTAGTGCCATGAGCACAAGAAGGACATTTCACTTCACTCAACCATGAGGACATTTGTCCAGATTGTGTAGTTAAGCCAATTGTGAAAACCAGCACCCTCCAAATCTTCCCTTCTGTCAGTATCTGCTGTTGATGCTTACTGCCGACCACGGCGACCATCACCCAACGTCGTGCGATGAAGCTGCAGCCGCCCATCGTCCAACTGCATCTCTCTGTTCCTGAGACGGGCTTCATCTGCTCGCAACAAAATGTATGAGGCTGATTCAGTTTCAAGCCGATTTTCCCGCTATGAGGCGGATTCTGTTCTCTCTCTCTCTCTGTCTGTCTGTCTGGCTGGCTGGCTGTCTGTGTCTGTGTCTGTGTCTGTGTCTGTGTCTGTGTCTGTGTCTGTGTCTCTGTCTCTGTCTCTGTCTCTGTCTCTGTCTCTGTCTCTGTCTCTGTCT